ACAGGAAGGCTGCAATTTAACTCAGCTTCTGACAAATCACTTTTATTCTTCCAATCCTCATAACTGTTGAGATCACAACATCCTACAAGTCACAGGTCAAGTCCTGGATTGCTTCTAGCTTGTTATAAAACTTTAAGAGGAAGGAAACCACTACAGTTTGGTTCCCATGCCATCTTACACCGGCACCGTCTAGGGTGTTTTAGCAGGTCACCTCTGTGAGAAAGCCAGGCCAAGGGATCCTGACAACAGATTTGGGGAAACACTGTGTTTTTCTGTCTATTATTTCCCCCAGGCTCAAGCAAGAAGCCAGGTTCTTCCTAATTCTTTGTCTCTGTATTTTGTTTTTCCAAGGCAGAAAGTAACATTCTTCGGGGGGCAAGTCTAACTTAATCTGAGAGCTGGAACAGCAGAAGTTTGAAACTTGCCCTGCCTCCACCCCCAAATAAAGAATCCATGGTTCCATTTTCCTTACCGTTCAAAAACCCATCCACTGTAAGCTACATCCTGACTCAGATGTTAAAATATAAACAGACGTTAAAATATAAACATATTTATAAAATATGAACAGTACATTGGATCAATAAAACATAGTATATACTATTTAGGGTGATTCTTAACATTTTCAAGAGTTCTACGGAATCCTCTGGTGATCCAGTCGTTAGGACCTGGTGCTCTCACTCCCGGGGCCCTGGGTTCAATCCCTGGTCCGGGAACTAAGATCCCACAAGCCCTGTGGCATGGCCAAAAAAAAGAAAAAGAAATTTTTAAAAATCTCTTTGGAATAGGAAATGGCAACTCACTCCCGTATTGCTGTCTGGAGAATCCCATGGACAGAAGAGCCTGGCTGGCTACAGTCCATGGGGCTGCAAAGAGTTGGACACAACTGAACTAACGAGCACACGCGTATGGACAGTGAGTTCAGGGTGTTCCTCCGATGAATGAAGACAGCCTCTCCCATTCCACATGCCCAACCTCTGTGTAGATAAAAGTGATCTATAAAACAGCACAACTGGAAAAAACTCTGCAATCATCAATTGACTCACTTGAAATATCCTAAGTAATTGGAATTTTTAAAATAGCTAGCTATTGACATTTGTTTTATAGATAATAGTATATTATGATAAAAGAAAGTATCTAAGCATTCTCTAGCTGTTTTCTCAAAGGATCATCGAAGAACACTTTGCAATAGTATCTAGTGAGCTTCTTTAAAATGCTGATTTCTGTCTCACTGCAGCAAACTTGCTGAAATAGAATTTCTGTAGTCAGCACTCTAGAATGTGCATTTTAGTACAGTGCTCACTGTGATTTTTATGCTCATTAAATCTTTAAAGTCACTGTGCTAGAGGCTAAGATGGTGTCAAGAAATTTTAGCTAAAACAGCATTTCAGTGAAGGTTTCTTAACTTTCTACAGCAATTTCCACTACAATGGATAAAGCAGGCTTAGAGAATGTTTCTTATTTTCTCAGGCCATTCTAAACATTTGACATAGGCAAACTGGAGTATGCCTAGAAAAAGAATAATTAGCTTGGCTCAAAATTGGTGATCAATATATATTTGTTGAATAAATGAATATAACATAAACNCCATTCTAAACATTTGACATAGGCAAACTGGAGTATGCCTAGAAAAAGAATAATTAGCTTGGCTCAAAATTGGTGATCAATATATATTTGTTGAATAAATGAATATAACATAAACAGAAAAAAAATATCTCTTTAGGGGACTTCCTGGTGGTCCAGGGGTTAAAAATCTGCCTTGCAGAGCAGGGGTTGTGTGTTCGATCCCTGGCCAGGGAACTAAGATCCCATATGCTGTGGGGTAATTAAGCCCAGGGGCCACAACTAGAGAGTTTGTGCACCACAATGAAAGATTCCATGTGCTGCAATTAAAACCCAGTGCAGCCAAATAAATTTTAAAAAAAAAAAGTTTTAAATCTCTTTAAATGTCCATGAGTTTTCCTGATTGAGAGAACAAGTTCTTGGTATTACGGAAGCAAACACTCATATGAAGGCACACCACTGTGATGTCACAGCTCTCTGAGAAGAAAATAGATTCTATAAGTTTCCAGAAAGGGGGTAGGGGATCAAGAATTGGAATCTTTTAAAAAGAATTAGAAGAGCTAGAAGATAACAGAGGAATACTTTCATAATTCTGAAGGAAAAAATTTCCAATCTACCCTTCTTCACCTAGTCAACTATTAACTATGTGTTACAGTGGAATGGAGACATTGTGAAAGATGCACCTCTTGATTTACACATGCATCCTTTTTTAGGAGACTACCGGAGGGTGTGTGTTTCCCGAGTCAGAGTGAGTCCAGACGGAGGAGGACACTGGTCCTGGGAGGCAGAGGATCCAACCCAGGAGAAAGGGGAAGGGCTTTCAACAGGCACATGCAGGAGATCCCAGGCCACCAGCTGTGTCCAGGTGAGAGGAGGTCAGACGCTCCCAGAGAGGGCTGGTCAAGAGGACAACCCTGATAGAATACCTGCTGTCTCTCAGTTTCCTGAGCGAAGACTCAATTAGTAAAGTTAGTGACTAAGTATCGAGAGATCTCAGAAATGGAAAATTACAGTCTCCAGGAAAAATCAGAAATTGGACAGCAAAGGAAAAGCACTCATAGACCACTCAGCGGCTCCTCCTGAAAGTGTTTATGATATCCTAAGGTCAGCACTGGTTATTGATCTAACCCAAAGACACAAAGGTGTCTGTGTAATGGGCGTGGGGAAGGGGTGGCCCAAGAGGGCTAAAGCCCCATTTGTCAGAGTGCAAAGCCAAGGATAACAGCATTGGTGGGGGAGGGATCAGGAACATTATAAACACATTATTTAGGTCTAAGAGACGCGAATGTGGGTACTTCTGGTCCAGCAATGGTGGGGGAAAGTTACATGTCTACCTGTAGGCCAAGGACTCTAAAACCTGTGCATATAGAGATTGCCAAAAATAAAAACTCTCGTAGTAATTCAGGATAATTTTTCTCACATGTTTTTCCATCAGTTTCCAAAAACATATTGAAATCAAGAAGTCTACATGCCAACACATTAACAGTGGTTATTTCTAGTAACAGAACTGTGGGCCATTTACATTTTTTCTCTCACTTTCCTATTTCCAGAGAAAGCATGGAACAGGGAGTCTGTTGATCATAAATCAGAAAACAAGAGATGTTTCACTTTACACCTGGTCTGCATCCACACCAGGGGAGAAGCCCCACCTCTGTCACTGTAGCTGCCACTAGCTCTCTAGAGCTGAGGAGCCTGCCAACTCCTTCATCCACACAGCAAATATTTGTTGAATTCCTAAGCCAGGCCCTGCAAGGTGATTCCAATACCCGAGCTTTCTATTGGATCTCCCAAAAGCCTCAGTCCCAGCTGGGGGAACAAAATGGGGGATGGGCTGAGCCAACACTTCAAACTCTCTATACACTGGAACCAACCAGGATGTATTCAGTTGGTCTGGGGTGTGCTCTGAGTCTCTGGAAAAGTGGATGAGCTATGTTACACGCTTTGTTGAACTTTCTCAGGGGAACTGGGGTCCTCAGGCACTTTGGTACCATCACGGCCCCAAGCTCATATAAGCTAGATTTCAATCCCACAAAGGTTCAAGTGAAAGTATCAGGGATATGGGGCTTCCCCTAGGTGGCATAGTGGTAAAGAATTCCGCCTGCCATTGGAAAAAGCCATGGTCCCCTGCCCGTTTGTATGACACCCTTTTTGAAATACACCAGCCTGGAAATCAAAAACAAACAAAAAAGAATTTGCCTGGGAATCCAAGAGATGTGGGTTCAATCCCTGGGTTGGGAAGATCCCCTGGAGTAAGAAATGGCAACCCACTCCAGTATTCCTGCCTGGGAAATCCCATGGACAGAGAAGCCTAGTGGGCTGCAGTTCATGGGGCCGCAAAGAGTCAGATACAACTGAACAGGGCCCAAATAAGCTGTGAGCTATGGCAGAAGGAAGGGATGCCCCATAACAGTTAAGAGCAGGGCCCTGGAGACAGGCAGGCCTGGGTTTGAATCCCACCTCCACCCCCAGGTGTGACCTACTTCCTCTCTAAACCTCAGTTTCCTCACATGTAAAATGGGGTCATAATCAAAGCGCCCTTCACAGGATGGGCTTCCCACGTGGCTCAGAGGGTAAAGAGGCTGCAGTCCACGGGGTCGCAAAGAGTCGGAGAGGACTGAGCGACTTCACTTTGTTTCACTTTTCACAGGATAGGGCTGTTGTGTGGGAAATGGGGGCAGGAGGGTATCTGAAGAGCTTGATGAGCTCCTGGCACCTAAAGAGAGCAAACAGTAACCTCCGTCAGCTGTTAACAAGCCCGGGACCTTTCTCCGCCAGGAGGAAACCTGGAGGGGCGATAACTGGATGTCTCAGCGTCCACGTTCTCCTCCAGAGAGGAGAAGGCTGGTTCTGTGCCCCCTCCCAGGAACGGTCTGAGTCTTCAACCAGGATGTGCAAAGCACCAGACAAGAAACTCTCTGATCCTCAAAAAGCACCAGACAGGAGACCCTCGGAATTTACTCCGTAAACGCTTCCCGATTCACCTCAGTTTACTACCAAGGAGATAATCAGGAAAAAGAAGAAGTCTTCTCCCCTGATCTTCGAGAAGCTTTGCTTCTGGGGAAAAGGCCACCCGCGTGGACATCGGGTGAGGGAGGCACCAGATGTCCCTGACACTCATGAACACAAACTCAGTGTTCACCGAGCATCCCGCTCCGGGGACACGCCACGGCCGCACAGAGGGCCCAGCAGGTCGGGTTTCTCCCCAACAGTCCTCCCAAAGCTCATGACCCTCTCCCCTAGAAGAGCCCAGGGGGAGACGGGACTCTCTCCTGAGAGGGGGTCTCGGAGTCCGGCACCTTGGGATGACGGCGAGGCTGAGCCTAAAGCGTTCCTCCGAAGTCGTCGGAAGGATGTGAACAAGCTCCCAGGCGAGGAGCACGGCGCGGGGTCCACCTGCGCCCCGGCGCCGCCCGCCCGCCCGCCCGCCCGGAGGCACTCACGATCTCCGCCACGATGAGGAGCCCGGGCAGGGTGCGGAGGAAGTCGCGGTCATAGGAGAAGCTGCTGCTGGTGGTGGAGAAGTTCTCGGCGAAGGAGCTGGCGGTGGTGGTGACCGTGTGCGAGCGGGTCTGACCAGTCTCTTTGCACCTGGCGGCGGCCGGCCAGCCGCTCGGGGGCCCCCGGGAAGAGCCAGGCCTCCGGGCCGCGTGGCTCCGGGAATGGACGGGTGGGCGGGGCGACGACTCCAGGTGGCGAAAGAGCGGCTGGAGTTACGACCTGGCCGGACCTTAGACCCGGACGAGATCGATGCGTGGCCGCCGGGACAGCCCGGCCGGAGCGTCTCCCCCTCCCGCCGCGGCGGCCGCCGCAGCCGGGCGGGATTTCCTGCTCCTCCTGCCGGGAACAATTTGAGGAACCGGCTTCATCGCCGGGCTTGGAAGGCGAGACGCTTCCAGGCGCTCTCAGAGGCTCGATCGCGCGGATGCGGGGAGCCTCGGGGCCGCGCCTGGCCCGGAGATGGGAACGGGGAGATCTTTGGGGGGCCCTGGTCACGATGAATCAGTGTCCCATCACCCTCGGGAGGAAATGTTGGGGGAGAGCTTGAAAACTGTGCGTTGTGCAAAGTGAAGTTTCTGACTTTCGCTGTGCTTTCTGGGGGTGCGGGAGGGGATGAGGGAGCCCCACGCATGGAGGCATGTCAGGCTGACCCGAATTTCAACACTTGGATTTCTCAGCCGCGTGACCAGGAGCAAGGGGCCCTACGTCTCTGGACCTCAGTTGAACCATCTGTAAAATGCCTAGGTGGGCACCTTGCCAACAAGAACATCTTCCTGGTACACTCTCCTGTCCGGTGAAAGAATGGCAAGAAATATTCTATTTTATTCAGGAACGCCCTAAAGGAAAGGAAATAATCCTTGTTCACAAATAGAGGGTTGCTCTCAGGTCACAGCGAAGGCATTCCATTCCCTCTTTATCTGTTCCAAGACACCTTTGGGAAAAGGTCAGAAGGGACATTTTTTTTTCCACAATGTCCTGTCAGCTGAGTGAGCCGAGAAGAAAGCAAAAACGATCAATACAATCTAGTAAAACAAGGAATTCATCTCTTTTAGGTCTAGGGCCTACGCAGGAGGACCTCAGGAAGTAAAAGACTTAAAAAGCATTACTGGACTTCCCTGGTGGTTCAGTGTTTAAGAATCCTCCTGCCACTGCAAAGGACACCAGTTCGATCCTAGGTGGGCGAAGAGCCCACGTGCCATGGAGTAGCTGAGTCTGTGCTCCGCTACTGCTGAGCCCACACACTGCAACAAGAGAAGCCAATACAATGAGAAGCCTGGGCAGTGAGGGGCCCACGCACCACATGGAGAGTATCCCCTGCTTTCTGCAACTAGAAAAAGCCTGAGTGCAGCAACCAAGACCGACCACAGTCAAAAAATTAAATCGTTTTTTTAAAATATAGGCAAAAGCTGCTAATAGACATTTCACTTCTAGGGAGATACATGGATGGCAAATAAGCGGCTCCATAGCTTGCCTGTGGTCGTGGTGGTGACAAGGGTGTGTGTGCATTTTTGTTTGTTTAAAAAAAAAAAAAAGCATTGCAAAGATGATGATATTTAGAGCAATTCCATCTGTGAACATGTGCTGAGCATCTCTGGCTGGTAGGTAAACATGACAAAAAAATACAGTCCTTTCCCCTTGAGCAGTGGTTCTCAAAGTGTGGTGCCTGGACCACCAGCATCAGCATCACCCAGGAGCTCTCAGAAAGGGAAGTTCTCAAGCCCCACCCTGGATTCACTCATCAGAAACTCTGAGGGTGAGGACCCGGAGGCTGTGTTTGAACTAGCCTTCCAGCAGACTCTGATATGCACTGAAGTTTGAGAGCTAGTGGATTAGAGAAACCGATCTCGCAGCTGCAGAAATAAAAGATACACATGGAATGGCTTGAGAAGTAGTTTGTGGCATCACAAAGGACATTATCAAAGGCAGGAAGGGAGGAAGGAAGTTAAGACAGCTCTATTTCTGTATCACAAAGGACAAGCCCATCTCAGAAAACCCCTGAGACCAAATGGACTTCAAAACTCAGATCTTTAATTTAGGAAGGTAAAAATGTACATACGCCATACACTCTATAACACCTTCAGTGTGGTGGAATGGCGCTTGAATCAAATACACTCCTCGGGGGCAACGAAAATACATGAACGAAATAAGTGTGTGTTTGGCTTTTCTACTGCCATGTGATAAATGCTTCCAAACATTAGTGGTTTAAAATAACAACCATCTTACTCATGAATCTGTGGGTCAGGAATTTGGGTGGGACTTGGCAGCAGATTCGGCTCCTCAAGCCTATTAGAGTCATTCACTCAGCTGATTTCAAGGGGGGCAGGGCAGGCCTGGAAAGTCTGAAAAGCCTTCATTCATACCTGGTCTCTCTCTCTCTCTCTCTCTCTCTCTCTCTCCATGAAGCTTGGGCTTCCTCACAGTATGGTGGGTTCAGAGTAGATGGACTTCTACACAGAACTTGGCATCGCGGAGGGGAAAAAAGAGCAGAAGTTTCAGATCTCTTAAGGTCCAGCCTTGAAAACCACAGAGCATCACTTCTGCCCCATTCTATTGGTCAAAGCCAGTAACCAGGGCAGCCTGATTCAGACAGGGGGGAAACAGATGAGATGAGAGGAGCAGAAAACGATTGTGGCCGTGTTTTCATCCATGAAGTGGAGCAAATAAAGACAACAACTAACTTCCTACCAGGTTAAGTTGGCTGTTTCTCCAGATACAGCTTGAGAGGAAGCTTTTGGGTTTCAGCATCTTAGATTTCAGAATTACAAAAAAAGCAATTCTACACTGGTTGTTGACAACTGTCCTCTTCTTCCCAGCTGCTGCCTAAATCCACGTGCTCTCTTCTGCCTGCAAGCCTCCCAGTGGGATGCCTGTTCCTCCAATGACGTATTTTTTCAATCCACCCTTCATTTTGCTGCAAGAATTATTGTCCCGAAATGCCAGGCTCAGATCTGGGCTGACATCTCACTGTGCAGTATAAAAGCCACGAGGAAGAAGTGCACCCCACACTTCTGCCCCTTTCCCAACTGCTCTGTGATGCTTCCCATCCCAACCCCAAATACATCTTCACATGTCTCTGTAGGTATGACCGCTTTATACCCATCACCAGCTTTTCTCGGCCTAGAAAGCCTCCTACTTCATCCACAGCTCCAGTCTGCATCCTTCAGGTCCATTTCAAAAGTCACCTTTCTGTGATTTCCTCTAGGTTTTCATAAAGCTTGCTCTTGTTTTCTTTCATTTACAATTCATTAATTTTATGCACCTCTCCTTACCTCTTCTTGAGGGACTTGAGTTACCCTTCCTTGTCTCCCTCCCTGCCAGAGGAGGTGTTTAGTGAATGCAGAAATGCAAACTTCATTCTTTCTTTCTTTGTCTTCATGGGTCTTACCTGCAGCACGTAGGATCTTGGATCTTTCGTTGCGGCACATGGACTCTCTAGTTGGGGAGTATAGACTCAACAGCTGTGGCGCCCAGGTTTACTTGCTCTGAGTCACGTGGGATCTTAGATTTCTGACCAGGGATCAAACCCGTGTTCCCCTGAATTGCAAGGTGGGTTCATAACCACTGGACCACCAAGGAACCCCCCCAAACTGTATCCTTAGGCGCAGAAAAGTATCAGAGGAAGAAAAGGTAGGCCCTGCCTTCTTGTGAAAGACTTCATGCAGAACAGAGCTTTGAGCTGAGACTTGTGGGAGGCATATAATTTGTTAAACTGGAGAAGGTGGACAGGTAAGAAAGACATCACTCCAGCCTATAGGACCAGGCCAGGTGACACCACAAATCCCCCATGAGTAGACCAGGTACAGATAACAGAGAATCTAAGGAGATCTGTTTGCATGGAAGAAAGGACTTGTGTGGGGTATGTTGACGGTTTATACAGAGTCAAATTATGGTTTCTACTAGGTCATAATACCCAACAAGCAAGCTATGAGACAGTACTGCCAAGAGTCTGTGGAGCCCAGGCCACTCCATAGAGATGCAAGGCTCATCAATAATCCAGTGAAAAGGGGGGCACCTTGTGATTTCCACCTGCTATCTAAAAGAGGATCAAGGGACATTTTCATTTATAAAGAATTTTTTAGAGATATGCCTAACACATGTTTCTCTTCATTATTATTCTAGTTTAAAACTAATTATGGTTGTTTCAGGCAATCATCATCAGAGGATATTAGAATTAGTGGATGAAAGTATGATGAGAATGAAAAGAATATTTGCATCATCTCAGGGTATCTCCCCTGAAGATGCAGTTTTCCCTTTGAATACTTATGAATTTATAAGTAACTTTACAGGGGAGGAGACCTGTGAGATACCACCAGATGTCAAAGTCACAGTCACCAGATAGTGTTGTAACTCCCACGTGAGGCATCGAGAAGGAGGTAAGGTCACTTCCATGGGCTTCTTATCAGGATGAATAACCCAACTTCAATCACAAGGAAGAAACTGACAGACCCAAATCAAGAGGCATTTTACTTAGTATCAAGATCAGGAAAGACAAACACTGAGGAACTGTTCCGCACTTGAGAGCCAAGTGCAAAGTGAAATTGCTAGAGGACTCTTAAAAAAAACCTCAGTATGATAGCAGGGGAAATCTGAATAAAATTCTGTACATTAGATAACTGCATTGTATCCATGTTAATTGCACAATTCACATCTTATGTAAAATGTTAACATTTGTGGGGTCTGGATGATACTTTACAGGAAGTCTTTTTTTTTTTCTTGCAACTTTTTGGTTAGCTTGAAATTATTTCCCAAAGTTAAGAAAATCAAAATAGTGATTTATGGTTGATCACAAATAGAGTTCTCCAATTCCAGCTGTAGTTCAGATCCTCCAAGCACAATTGACTGGGTGATTTATCCACCCCAGAACTTCCTGTTTCCCATCCACTTATTATTAAGGTCTTGTAGGGAATCCAGGAGCTTGGCTGAGAAGTGAGAATGTTCTTTCCACTCAGCCCTGAAAGCTATCAGTCAGTCTGGTCTATTCCTCAATTTGAGAACAGGCAGACATTGGGCCCAGATCCATTCACCTGGGTCTGGGTGTAGAGAGGGTCTGTTTGAGTTCCAAGATACTCTATCGATTTGACCAGAGGCTTTAAATCCTCTGGAGTTTAGGCAGATAAGTTCAAACAAGTAGATGCATCAGTCCCTTTTGTTTCAGAATGGCTTCTTGAATTATGGTCTTCTAACCAGATACACTGGGGCTTAAATATTAACTTTGTAGACACTTCCCTCACACAAAGGAGTCAGTTCACTCCCTTTTTTCTTGAAGTACATGCTCTCCTGGGTCACACTGTATTTTGGTGCTTTAGTTTTAAGCACAGGGACCAGAAATGTTTCATTTTGTTCTTACCATAAAGCCACATTTGGGAATCTGAGAATGTAATGAAATCAGCTGTGGGGGATGTAACACAGAGTGGTAGGGTCTGTGGTGAACAGGAGCAGGAATGCTTTAGGAGAGCCAGCTGGGTTTCTGCTCCGCCTGACTGCTACCTTGTAAAACTGGGCCTAGTATTGCTAGAAATCCCAGTATTCTATTTTATTTTACTTTATTCACACCATGCAGCTTTCAGGAGCTCAGTTCCAAAACTTGGGGCCTAGTATTGCTAAAAATCCCAGTTTTTATGTATTTACATTTACTGTTTGGCTGCACCTCTTGGCTTGTGGGAACTCAGTTCCCTGACCAGGGATTGAACCCTGGGTCATGGCAGTGAAAGCCTGTAATCCTGGGACACCAGGGAGCTCCCGATTTAAAAAGTACGCCAATTTTTAAATACTGGTAACTAACATTCATCATTTTAAGAAGACTGTATGTGTCGTGTTTGCAGGCTGAACAGTGTATCCATTTGTTGGCTGCGTCTGATTGAGACAAATGAGACAAAGGGAGCAGCCCTCTTCGCCCCTTCCCCTCCCTCCGGGATGCTCTCTAGAAACCTGGGGTGGGGGTGTTGACTCTGAGCTGGGAGGGGGCATGCAGGACCTACTGAGGAGAGAGATGAGTGCCTGCTAGGGTTTTGTGGGGCCAAGGAAGGTTAAGAGTGGGGAAATATAGGGGGGTTAAGAATCAGCTGATTGGGTAGGATGATTTGAGAGGATAACATTGAAACATGTATATTACCATCTGTGAAAGAGATGACCAGTCCAAGTTTGATGCAGAAAACAGGGCATTCAAAGCCAGTGCCCTGGGACCACCCAGAGGGATGGGATGGGAAGGGAGGTGGGAGGGGGGTTTGGGATGGGAGACACATGTACACCCATGGCTGAGTCATGTCAATGTATGGCAAAAACCACCACAATATTGTAAAGTAATTAGCCTCCAATTAAAATAAATAAATAAAATTTTTAAATAAAGAATCAGCTGATTCAGGGAATTCCCTGGCAGTCTAGTGATTTGGACTCTGAGCTTCCACCCAGGGGGCATCAGTTTTATTCCTGGCCAGGGGAACTAAGATCCCACATGTGGTGTGGTTAAAAAAAAAAAAAAATCAGCTGATTTAGAAGTAGGTATTAATATTTGGAAGGTGTAAAAATAATAACAAGTAATAACTAATTTATTATTGGTCTGTTTTGGGTCAAGCACTGCCTTAACTTGAATTTTATTTGATTTTTTAAAAACCTTCTTGGGAATTCCCTGGTTGTCCAATGGTTAAGACTCAGCACTTTCATTGTAGAGGGCCTGGGTTAGATCCTTGGTTAGGGAACTAAGATTCCACAAGCTGTGCCGTACTAAAATGAAACTAAGATAAAATTAAAAAGTAAAAATAAAAATTAGAAATCTTCTTAGGGGTCTTGATCTCAGTGAAAAAGATGGATCTCCCAGAGTTCTTGGCTGCAGCCACTGGTTCAAGAAACACTGATCTAATATCCACAAGGTCCATGCATAATTGGGTTACACAGCTCAGTACGACTGTCCCTTCCTTTACTGAGTATGATATCAGGAGCGGGGAGAGAGCAGTGAGTGAGTGAGTGATGGGGGGATCTCTGCCAGGCCAGGGGAGGTCAGCGTGCACTGCGAAGGTGGCATGGTGAGCCTGGGGACCAGGGTTCCGTTCTTCCATTAGCAGACATTGAAGTGTTTTCAAGGGCCATTCAAAGTTAGCTAAGCAAAGAATCAGGGACCAGAGGAGGAAATTCCAGACGAAGGACATAATTCCCCTTCAGGAAGCACTGGATCTGTTTGTTTGTTGAGAGATGTGCCGACCGGGGGTTTCAGCCCTCCTGACTGTCCAGGGTGAAAAACAACGGGCCCTCCCTGCCCCCTCTCCATCTGGTCCATAAACAGTAATTGCACTGTGCTTGGCAAAGGGGGAGATAGGGAGAAATTCCATCAGCAACACTGATAAAGCTCATGATCGTGCCGGGCCCTGAGAGGTACAGGGGTGTGCCTGTGTGTGTATGTATATATCATCTTCTTAGAGAAGTGAAAAAAGTCAAGGTCAGGTACTTGAGACTTTCTTGGTCTGTAGGTTTTTTACTTTCTCTGCAATTACTTTACAAGCCGCTAGAAAATTAAATGGGCGATACATGTACCATTCCTACCAAACCAAAGATCAAGAAGAGGACTAGGAGGTGGGGGGGGGGGGGGNGTCACTCCCCCCAGAAGGGCAGGTTAGTTGACCACCTCCACCTCTCCCCCCGCCCCACACACACACACCAAGTCTGAGAATGGAAAATAACTGAGGTTTCTAGGAGGAAGGGCAAATCTTCCTGCAATATCTTGCAGGGACCCATTTATCACATTCAAACAACAAAACAGACAACATTGCTCACAAATGAATGGAAACCCTTGAATGTGTCTGAGAATGAGGCCCATGTGGCTGGGTGCTGGATTTAGAGAGGAGACCCGCTGAGTTTGGAAAAGCCACCCTAGAAAGTTCCAAAACTGATGGAAAATCAGAAAAAGTGGCAATTAGCAATACCCTGGGCTTGTGAATAGTGCCTCATGGAGGCTCTGTGGGCTAAATCTACAGGCTTTTGTAGGACTGAAAAAAATGTTCTAGGCTCTTATAACAATTTGAAACAGAGGTGCATTTGAGGTTCCTGTTGCCAGCACCTTTTAATGAATAAAAGGTAATTAATGTTAATGAATAGTGCTAATTAGGCGCCCACGTGCGAATTCCTCTGCCCCAGTTACTGGATGAGCAACAACCTGTCCCCACATAGCTGACTACACGCTAAGAAGCGCCAGGAATCTTCCCAAATGAGATCAGAAGCACGCCCCAAAACTGGACAGCAGAGATGAAAACGCAGGATAATTATATCCATCATGATTCTCTCCAGAAGACTCTCTGAGAGGAGCATATTAAGCAAGCGATTTAGGGAGTGGGTGTTTGCTTACCAAGTACATTTGCTTTAGAAAGAATTAATTGGAGGGTTTGTTTCTAGATGGTTAACTATTTGACTGAAGAGAGAGGATGGAGCTGAGAAATTT